TAATTTAATTTAATTTAATTTAATTTAATTTAATTTAATCCTTTGTTGTTGTTCAGTCGTTAAGTCGTGTCCGACTCTTTGTGACCCCATGAACCCCATTGCGCCAGGCCTTCCTGTCCTTCACTGCCTCCCTGAGTTTGCTCAGTTTCATGCTCATTGCTTCAGTGATGCTATCTAACCATCTCATCCTCTGCCGTCCCCTTCTCCTTTTGCCTTCAATCTTTCCCAGCATCAGGGTCTACATAATCTAACATTTTCTTACTCTTAATATATTTCAGTCCTGCCAGTTTTTTTTCAAATTCCTTTTCCCTTGTTCTGATTCCTTGAGGATCTAGCTGCTTACTCCTTTTAAGTCTTTTACTTGCACTGCCAATTACACAGAAAGAGAAAAGTCAAGAGAGAGGCCTTGTGGGATCTCACTACCATGCCATGTCATATCAAATCTGGAAGTTGCATTTGGCTGCACTACGTCAGGACTCCATATATCACCATGACAAAGCAGAAAAAATTATACACAGCAATACCTCCAAAAGCAGGGAAAGCTCAGAAGAATCTAGATGTATGTTTAATATGCACCTAGTATCATGACTCCACCAAATTTGCATCGTTGCTCCACTCCACCTTGCCCTCTCCAAAATGTTAAGAGTGGCCCCTGACCCCTGAAGGTTGCCTATTGTCGCACTACTTTCATCAGCTTCCCCTTTTCCTTTTGTTGCAGGGTGTGCTGGTTAATGAGCTTGTGCAACTCAGCAGCCACATAGACGGGCTTCTGCTGGTAGAGGTGCTGGTGTTAGGTGTCTCCAGCCCTCCGCAGCGGGTCCTGGCAAATGGCACCCCTGTCCTGGACTTTTCTTACCGCACTGATACCAAGGTAAGTATGTTTCTTGCACTGCAGAAGGTTTCTGCACGGGAACACAATCCATCAAACGTGGACTCTTTCATCAGTATAAACCTCTTGCAGTGGTACTTTGATAAAGATTTTAAAGACAAAATTGGATTTGGAGAGGATCGTTATGGATGAAGCTTTCATGCCTTCCTAGGGTTCTCAATGCTAGTTCCATGATTGAAGGAAGGAGTAGGCAGCTCACTCACTGAGTGCGTGCCTCCTCCAGCTTTAGTGAAGCTCCCCAAACCCCTTCCTTCTGTGACATTGAAATAACAAACTGCATGGCTATTTATTGGTGACCATCTGCTTGGAAACTCTGTATTTCAAAGTTAGGAAACAAAGGTTTGCAAATATTCTGGATATCTTTCAAAACCTCTTGGGGAACTTTATATAAGGTTAAATTGGTAACTATTTTTTGAATTGATTTATCTTTTCAATGCTTTTTCTTCTATTAAAATGCTCCACTCGATAATAAATTAGGTTGGGTGTGCTGGAGATATATATAGGAAAAAATGGTTTGGAGCAGTTGAAAATAGGGGAAAATATCCTTCTTCCAAGTCTCCCAGAGATACTGCTAAAGCCAGAATGCATATATTTATTTATGTATTTACTTTTTTATCTTGCCTTTTTTCCTCTTTCTCACCACACAAGACTGAACGTGGCCCTCAGCCCCCAAAATGGTTGCCCATTCCGGCCCTAATGCAGCCCTTTCTCCCACCCAGCTAGTAACACGCCAATATTCCAAATGCTACAGAAGGCAGATGAAGGGAGTTTGCACACATTCTTGTTATTCATTAATTTGGATATACATCTTTGTTTAGTTTCAAAAGGTAATACTGTCTTAATAGATGATTTCCTTAAGTGCTAAGCAGTAGCCTCCAGTAATTGCTGAGGGAAACATTTAAGGCTACAGACAGTCCCCTACTTGTGAACTTTCATGTTGCGAACTTTCACCAATACAAACAAGATGGATCCGGAAGTCGGAACCGGAAGTCAGGAGAAGGCGGGAAAGGGATAGTTTGCAGCACGCTCCATTGCTGGGTGAGGCAGGGGAGGGGGGAGGTCTCCTGCCTCGCCCGGCAACAGAGCATGCTGCACCCCACTGGCTCATCCTTCACTCCCCTCTCCTCCATTACCACCCCCTCTCCTGCCTCATCTGGCGATGCATTGGCAGCAGAAGATAGGGCTCCTCTGCCTGCACCGCTGCCCTGCCTCCTGCCTCTTCCTCTTTTTTTTTACTTTTTACTTGGTTGGACTTACGAACAAAACCAACTTATGAACAACCTCTTCGAACATAACCTGTTTGTAAGTAGAGGACTATCTGTATCGGCTTTTGCAGAAACTGCAGAATTCACATACAGGTGTCAGAGTCTGCACACTCAATCCCAAAATTCAGTAAATCCTCTGGAGACCAAAAGTTCCATCAG